GGTAAAGGGGGTCCAGGTCTGGGGCTGTTTTTTTGGGGGGGTCTCTCCTAGCCCTGGTGGCCCCACTGGACTTTAGTGTGGGAGGAGGTGCGATCCCCCTGCTTCTGCCAGGGGCTATATTGAGGGCGGGATCTGCCTTCCCCACACATCTCGGGATCTGGAATCCCCAGATGCAGGTCAATAAAGTTACCACTGTGACTGATGGGCACAGGACTGAGCTGGTTTCTTTCACCCCCAACCTTGGTGGGAGCTCCCCACTGGGCAGGGCTGGGCCCAGGCACCCCCTGCCAGACCCTGGGGGCAGGGCAAGGCTGAGGCGCCCCCCGCTGGCTGCACCATGCCCAGGTGCTGGCTGCCTCCCCAGCTCCCAGCGCTTTTCCGTGCCAGCCCAGGGGACAAGGCCCCTTTGTTCCAGCTTCGGGGGCAGCTGGGTGCCCGCCTCCCCCCCCCCATGGTGCCAGCCGGTGTCAGAGCTCAGTGTCCTGCATGGCTGCAGGGATGGGGGAGCAGGCGCCGGGCGCCCCAGGGGAGCCGCGCAGCTTTCAGCTGGACAAGGAGTTTCTGGCATCACCCAAGGGACTGCTGATGCTTGGCGAGCTGGTAACGGGACTGGGACCCTGCACGCTCCATGGGGGACCCCGGGACCCACCAGAGACCCCTAGACTGAACCAGGGACTCCCCCAGACCCCACCAGACCCAACCAAGGGACCCCCCCTGCAGCTCAGATGAATCCAGACCCTTGCCCTGATCCCAGCCCAGGGGCAGACCCAGAGGCCCTCCCAGATCCCAACCCAGAGACCCCCACAGTCCAGACCCAAGGACCCTCCCAACCAGGCCCCAACCCAGTGCCCCCCCTAGGCTCCTCCACCCTGCTCGCCAGTCCAATCCAGAGGCTCCCAACCCCACAGATCCAACCCATGGACTCCCACCCCAAACCTCCCCACCCTCAGATCCCAGCACAGGGACACCAGACCCCCTCTGCCCACCCAGGTCCAAACCAGGGATCTTCTGAGACCCCCTCCACCCTCGCAGATCCAACCCTGAGGCCTCCTGAAGCCCCAATCTAGGTACTCCTGAGACCTCCCAACCCCCAGACGTCAACACAGGACCGTGAGACCCCCCTCCACCACCCAGATCCAACCCAGAGGCCTCCAGATCCCACAGGTCCAATCTAACCACCCCCCCAGAGTTCCCACACCCCATATCCCAAACCAGGTACCCCCCAGACCTCCTCCACCCTCTGACCCAACCTAGAGGCCCCCCAAACCCCAGATCCCATCCAGCCCCCCAATCCCCTAGATCACCAAACCAAACACCTCAGACCCTCTCCTACTCCCCCAGGTTCAATCCAGAGGCCCTCCCAACCACCCAAATCCAATCCAGGGGTCCCCCCAAAAGCCCTATCCCCCCCATAACCCAGCCAAGGGACCTGTAGACACTGCCACTCCCCAGTGACTCCCCTCCCCCCACTAGATATCCAAACCCCCTTGTCCAACCCAGATGCCTCCAACCACCCCCCACCCCCATGCAATCCAGGGACCCCCTGATTTTCCACCCTCAAATCCCGGGGGTTGGACTCAATGATCTGGGGGTCAGACTCGATGATCTATTGAGGTCCCTTCCAACCCTAATATCTAACATCTATGAATCTATAAGTCAGGGACCCCCTAGACCCCCTCCACCTCCCCCAGATTCAACCCAGGGATCCCCAGACCCCTCAAATCCACAGATCCTGTACCCTTTCACCCCCAAATCCAAATGAGAGGCCCCTCAACCTCCAGACCCAATCCAGATACTCCTGAGACCTCCCAACACCCTAAAACCCAATCCAGACCCCCCAGATCTAACTCCAGAGGCCCCTAGACTTCCCAGATCCAATCCAGACTCCCCCAACATCCCACCTGCCCCGATCCCAAACCTGGGACCCCCAAGATCCAACCCAGGTACCCCCCAGATCCCCTTCCCCCCACACAGAGCCACCCTAGAAGCCCCTCAGACCCCAGATTCAGACCCCTAGACCTCGCAACCTCCTAGATCCCAAACCAGGGGCCCCAGACCCCTCCACCCTGCAGATCCAACCTAGGGCCCCTCTGACCCCCCAGATCCATCCCATTGATAGCTCAGACCTCCCAACCCCCTGATCCCAAACCAGGGACCCCTAGACCCTCCTCCCCCCCATCCCCAGGCCTACCCCAGAAGGCGCCACGCCCTCCCAGATCCAACCTAGGTACTCCTGAGACCTCCCTACCCTCAGATCCCAAACCCAGATCAGAAGCCACGGACCTGCCAGACCACCCCACAGGTCCAACCCAGAGGGTCCCAGACCTCCCAGATCCAACCCATGGACCGCCCAGAACCTCTAGACCCCCAGATCCCACGCCAGGGACCCCCAACCCCTTCAGATCCAACCCCGCAACCTCTCAGGTCCAGTCCAGGGGCTCAGACCTAGGGTCTCCGACCTTTGTTCCTCCAGATCCCAAACTGGGGACTCCCGCAACCCCCAGCCCTGGACCCCAAGCCCCTCCCCAGACTCTCCTTGGCCCCTCCAAGCGCTGAGCTCTCTCCAGGCCCCCCACACCTCTCCAGGCTCGCCCCCTGCCCCACCCAGCTTTCTGCCCTCCCCCCCGGGTCTGGGAGGGGCTAGGAGCTCCAGCCCTACCCCAGGGTGGGGAGTTGGAGGGGTTCCTCATGGGGGGAGGGAGAAGCAGGGGGGGATGCTGGGGGTGGGAGGCTCTGGTGGGGGATGGAAGGGAGGTCTGGGGGCTGTGACCCACCCTGTCCCCACAGGCGCTGAGCCTGCTGGTCTTCGCCCTGCTTACGGCCTCGGTGTCAGCCTACATGGGCGCCGCATTGCTGGAGACCCTGCTCACAGCTGCAGTTCTGGGCCTGCGTGGCACCCACGCTCACCACCACCTGCCCGCCCTGCACTGGCCCTGCCTGGTGTGTGCACCCGTGCCCAGGGACCCCTTGGGACCCCCCCAGTCCCACTCCAGTGCCCTGGGACTCCCAAGGACACTTCTGGCCCAGCCCCAATGCCCCTGGGATCCCCCTAACTACTGGCACCGTCAGGCCTAGTCTCCAACCTCATGCCCTACATCCCCCCTGGCACCCCTGAGCCCCCACCACACTGCCCTGGCACCCCTCCCTGCCCCCAGGACCCTCCAGCCCAGGGAACCCGGGACCACACTTCCATGCCCCACCCCTGGGTCCTCCCCACCCTGTGGTGACCCTGAGTGACCCCATGTGTGTCCCTACCACCCCCAGGACATGCTACGCTGTGGCAGTGCCGCCCTCATCTTTCTCGTCGTGGCAGTCGCTGCTGTTGCTGCCAGCCGTGAAGGGGCGGCTGTGAGCGCTGGGGTGAGTCTGAGGCACCCCCACCCCCGTATCCTAGCATCCTGCATTGCGGCACCCCGAGACTCCCCAATATCCTGCAAGCCTAGGACCCTGAGACCCTGCTACCCCCTACTGCAATACCCTGGCACCCCAGACCCCGATACCCCAAGACCTCACATACCCCCATACTGCAGCACCCCAAGACCTCCCAATACCCCACACCCTAGCACCCTGAAACCGCAATACTCCTGCGACCCTGAGCCCCCAATACTCCCGGCACCCTGAGACCCCCAAGACCCCATATCTCCCAGCACCCCAGGACCCTGAGACCCTACACTGTAGCACCCTGACACCCCAATATCCCTCAACACCCAACACTGCAGCACTGTGCTGCCCCAATGCCCCGATACCCCTGCCCCTCCCTGACGCTCTTTCTCCCCACAGACTTTTGGGTTGGTCCTGGCAGGGGTCTTTGCTTACGATGGGGTCCGGACCTACCGGCTCCAGCATGCTGCGGGGCTTGGACAAGGTGCGTTCCCTTGGGTGGGGGGGAAGGTTGGAGGGGGTGGGGGCAGGGGCATCAGGCTGCTCGGGTCCCCCCAGCAGTCGGGGTGGTGGGGTTAGAGGGGATGGCGTATCACTGGGTAGGGATGGTGTCTGTGGTGCCTGGATGCCAGGCTCCATGGTATGGGGGTGGAGGTAGGGGGCTGTGGGGGGAGCCCCAGGCTGCCAGGACTCCTGGCTTCTTTGCCAGGGGGTGCTAAGTTGCATTAGTAAGTATGTGGGGGTCTGGGGGGAGTTATGTTCTGGCACTGCCTGGACACTGGGGTTCCTTGGCACAGGGCGCTGTGGCACTGGGTGAGGGGATGGGGACCTGGGGCTGCCCAGATGCCTGGGTTCCCCAGCAGGGGGAGCTGCAAGACCCTGAATCATCCTTTTTTGACCAGATTCCAGGGTGGAAGCAGAAGAGTGAGCCTGACCCACAGCCCTTGTCCCCTCCCCAGGTTCCCTCACTCCCTGCCCCCTTCTAGCCCTGCCAGTGCCCCCCACTCCCAACCTGCAGCCCCCTGACCCATGAGTCCTGCTACCCCAACCTGCAGCCCCCTGCCAGTGCCCCCCTAGGTTTTGGTGGGGGCTTAGTGGGAGATGAGGCCTGATTCTGCACTTGGCCTCTCCAAGCTCTTGAGTATGGGCAACCCCCCTACCAAGGCCAGTGTGCATCAGTCCACGTGTCCATTTGTCCTGTCCCATCCCCTCTCCTCCCCTCTCCTCTGCCGTGCTCCCTGGCGCACAAGTCTTCGGCATCCCTGTACAAGGAGTCTCATGAAGACCTGCTGCCTGGAGGACCCGGCACCAGTGTCCTTGTGTTTGCACGCATGTGTATGTCTGTGGCTTGCGCGTGATTCCATAAACAGGTGGTCATGTGGCCCTCACATCTGTGCGTGTATGCAGTCCCTGTGGTGTGTCTCTCCATGCTCGCACGAGGGCACAGGTCAGTCCTGGTGGGTCCCCCCTTTCCCAGGGTGCATTCACTAGTGTTTTCACAAGGGCGTGTCACTGGCAAGTGCTTTGCTCTGGCCTCTTCACACGCTGCTAAGCATCGCACAAGAACATGCAAGCTTTCCCAGTGCTTGCACAAGAGTATACCCCCTGGTGCAGGACTGCTGGCTCAGAGGGGCCTGTGTAGGCATGGGCATGTCTCCCTGTGCCCACATGAGTGTGCAAAACCAGCCTCTTGTGCAAATGATGCATGATTTCCCATGTACCTGTGATAGGGAACTGAGTGCACTTGTTACTTTAAGAGGGGAAGAGGCTGCCTGAGAAGCAACCTTGCAGGTGTGGGAAGGACCAATTAGAGTCACCTGACCAGAAGGGGTGGGGTTTGATGCATATAAACCCAGGGCCTGGAGCTGATCTAGTAGTCTACCCTTGAGAGCAATTGTGGGGTGTGGAGTTTCTGGTTAACATTGAAGCTGGGGTAAGCAACTCTGGAGGTTTGTAGATAGGAGTACCTGGAGGAGGTCTCAGCAGGCTGGTGAGCCCATAAGCAGAAGCAGGCCTGGGAACAGAAAGGCCTGAGAGATATGGCTAGAGAGCTTGTAGGTCAGAGAGGGGCAGGAGAGAGCAGAAAGCCAGGAAGCAAGAAGGGCAGGGTGCCCATGGTCCCAACCAGCCTAGGAGCAGGCTCAGGGTTTAGGGTAGGAGTCAGCAACATTTTGGGGCAACATCCGCAACCTTGACTTATAAGATGTTGGCATGCCGGGGCGTATGGTGGGGAGCTGTGTGGGGCCTGATCCTTGTAGCAGTGCAGCCCTGGTCCCTTCCCTGCTGTCTGCCCTGAGGCATGTGTGCCAAGAAATGTGCCTTTGAGGGCCACACTCTGGCACCTGTGCTGGGGGGTGCCTACCCATAGTCTAGGGAGACCAAACGTCAGGGCCCTCTGCCAGAGACCAAGGGGGTCGGAGCACCTTTAGCCCAGAGAAGGGCATAGATAGGGTGAGGGAGCCCAGAGACTGGGGCCAGGGGCCTGAAGCCCAGGAGAGGTGAAGTGCCAGGGCAGGGAGACCTGGTCACAGGGACTGAGGCAATGGCCTGAGGGTGGGGCGGCTGATGGACAGGATTGGTGATAACATCTCCGAGGCCTGGGCGTGGTGTAAAGGGGTGGTTGTAGCCACATAATAGGCCTTTAAGGTGCTGAGTAGTGAGACCTGAGCTCAGGGTGGGTGAGGTCTCGCTCAGGGATCCCAAGGGCAGTCTCCCTTCCTGAAGTACATATTTTCTTCCCTTCCCGAGTGACTACCAAGAGGCATCATGGCTATCCTGGGGTCCTTGTCTGTTGCATTGTACCTCTGGGGATTTGCATGAGCGTGTGCCCTGGGGCACAGCCTCTTCAGGAGCATGTGAGGCCTCACCAGCTATTTTGTAGGAGTGCTCACATTAAACCCCCACCCTGGGCAAACACTCTGGAGGTGTCTGGCCCTCCCAGTCGAGGGGGGAAATTTTACCCAAAGCAGGTAAGAATCCCTGTCCCCCCCACCCCTCCCCTGCCCCTCTGTGCTCAGAGCCACGTCCCCTCCTTTTCCGCATGCAGCCCAGTCACCTGTGCAGCTTAGTTGGAGAAGGCAGGCATGCTAATTTTAACCATAATCCTAACTCCAAATACCATATTTTATAGGCTACAACATGTTCTAGAATAAGACGCACGCTTTGTTTTTCAAGGGCTGAAGAAGAAAAGATCTTCCCTTATAGTAAGTCACTGAGCAGCAGCAGAGAGGGCGCCCAGCGTGCTCACTCTGCTCCCAATGGATTGGTGCAGCATTTACGTTAGCTTTGGCCCAGCAAACAGCAGCAACTGCTTTTACCATATTTATCTCATATAATGTGCACTCAAATAGCCAAGAGTTGGCTTTTTGTGGGGAAAAAAGGTGCGCATTGTACACAAGACAATATGGCAACTTGCCAACCTTAACATAAATTGCTGCCAAATCGCAGCTCCAGTCACTCCCGATTTCACTGCAAAAATCCCCCCCAGTTGCACAACATTCACCCCAAAATTCAGCCCACTTTCCTAGCAGAGTTTTGCTCTTGGAAATCCTGGTTCTCCCCCCACCCCCTGGCCCCTAAAAGGAGGCTGCACCCTGATATTTTAGCTACTCCATAACCCAGCATCACATCAAACTTCAACCTCAACAGCCCCCAAAAGGCCAGGATTCACCCAAAAGTTTCCCAGTAGTGTTTTCTTTCCTTAGTGGATAGAAATAAGGGAGAGGGGGGATGTTAAACCCTGTGTGTTTTGGGGTTCTTTCCAAACCTCTACTGACCCCCCACTTTGGTGCTGGTCTGGGAGGGGCATCTCTACATTTCTGGGCAGGGATGGGGGGTGCTGTACAATGATGTTGGGGTTCATGTTGCTCATGCCATCTTTGTAGCCCTGACTGGTTCCCTTGTTCCAGGAAGGAGCCTGGACCAATCAGCATCTCTGTGTTGATGCCCAGAACCCACAAGCATGTGTATGGTCCCCTCCACTTTTGCAAAGGACCCCATCATTCCTTTCCCTGTGTCAAATGGTCCCAGTATGCTGTATATAGGCCCCACATAATCATTGATAGAGGCTACTGTGTAGAGCTGGGAGCAACCTGTAGCTTCTGGATGCCTGGGTTCTCCACCAGAGATAGCAAGATGCTGGGATACTGGGGTGGGGAGGAGAGACCCCACAGCCTGGGTTCCTCAGTTTTTCGGTAGGGTGGATGGATGACATGCTGGGTGAGGGAGGGATCCCATCATTACCAGATACTTAGAGTACTCAGTAGGGGGGATGTATATGATACACTGGATGAAGGAGGGGCCTTGCCACTGCCCAGACACCTGGGTTCCCCAATGAGGGGACGTTAGAGTAAGAAACACAGTGCCAGGGGAGGATCTGCTGTTCGGCTTTATTCACACTGCTCTATCCATCCTACATTGCTAAGCCCCAGCCTGGTGGGCCCAGCTCTGAACAGGGCTCCCAGGGTGGGGGTTGTGGCCACGATCCTGACAACTGGGCCTCTCATTCCTCATCATGGAGCTTCTGGAAGAAAACAGTGGGGGAGGGCAGTGGGGAGCAGAGAGATGGAGCGATACGGCATGGGGAAGGGAGAAAGGAAGGAAAGAAGGTGGAGGGGCAGAGAAAGAAGCGGGAGAAAGAGACTTGGTGTGACAGGGAAAACGGATAGAATGGAGTGATGGAGGTGAAAGAAAGAAGAAAAGATTGTTAGAAAAAGAAATGAAGATGGAGAGTGAGAGGAAGAAGGGAAGATGGAGAGATAGAAGGGAAGAAAGAAGGCTATCGAGAGAGAACAGAGAAGTGTGGCCCCTGGAAGAGGAGACCTGAGCTCTCCCAAGTGGGATCTCCTATGGTGGGGGCATGCCCCTGGGTTGGGTGCGAAGTGCCCTTCCTCCACTCTTACCTTGACCCCAATGTCACGGCTCTTGGCCCGGAGCTTGTTGACCTGGGACTCGGCGATGTCGGCCCGCTCTTCAGCCTCATCCAGCTCATGTTGAATCTTCCGGAACTTGGCCAGGTTGGTGTTGGCTTGTTCCTCCTGCAGGCGGTGCCGGGGAGCAGGGAGAGGATTGGGGCATTACCCCATGGGACTCCCTGCCACTGGACTGCAGGCAGTTAAGGGGAAGGGAGGCAGTAGTTCCCTCCCAAATGCTTGGTTACTGCCTGTCCAATCCATCCACTCACTCAACCGTCCATCAGAATCACAGAAAATGAGGGTCGGAAAGGACTTCAGGAGGTCACATCTAGTCCAATCTCTTACTCAAAGCAGGACCAACCCCACCTACATCATCCCAGGCGGAGCTCTGTTGTGCCAGGTCTTAAAAGTCTCCAAGGATGGAGTTTCTGGGTAAACCTAAGCCAGTGCTTTACTACCCTCCACATGAGAGAGTTTTTCTTATCTAACTGCAACTTCTCTTGCTGCAGCTTGAGTCCATTGCTCCTTGTTCTGTCATCTTCCACCACTGACAACAGTCCAGCTCCATCCTCTTGGAACCACCCTTTGGGTAGCTGAAGGCTGCTATTAAATCCTGCCTCAGTCTTCTCATTTCCAGACTAAATAAGCCTGGTTCCCTCAGCCTCTCCTCACAAGTCAAGTGCCTCAGTCCCCGAGCCATCTTCCTTGCCCTCTGCTGGACTCTCTCTAATTTGTCCACATCCTTTCTGTAGTGGGGGGCCCAAAACTGAACACAGTCCTCCAGATGTGGCCTCACCAGTGCTGAATAGAGGGGAAAGATCACTTCCCTTGACCTGCTGGCAACACTCCTACCAGTGCAGCCCAGGATGCCGTGAGCCTTCTTGACAACAAGGGCAAACTGCTGGCTCTTATTCAGTTTATTGTCCACTGTAACCCCCAGGTCCTTTTCTGAAAAGCTGCTGCCTAGGCAGTTAGCCCCAAGACTGTACCGGTGCATGGGCTTGTTCCACCCTATGTGCAGGAATTTGCACTTGTCTTTGTTGAACCTCACAAGATTTCTTTTGGCCCAATCCTCCAATTTCTCAAGGTCTCTCTGAATCCTAGCCCTACCCTCCAGCGTATCGACTCCTCTCCCCAGCTTGGTGTCATCTGTAAACTTGCTGAGGGTGCACTCTATGCCATCTTCCAGGTCAGTGATGAAGGTATGGAAGAAAATCGACCTCAGGACCAACCCCTGGGGCACTCCACTTGATAACGGCTGCCAACTACACATTGAGCCATTGATTACTACCCTTT